GTAGGGCAAATATCTGGTCAGATGTGCTTGAGCTGAACCGGAAGCGACACTGCTTTTCTTGTATCTTGGAGTTAGTTATTCCGAGGCACCTCCTTTCTGATACCTTCGCGTAGACTACCAAGGATGTTCATTAAAGTAAATCTCTTATAGTTGAAGCATTCTCTGTGGTCTCCCTTCTTGACCAGGGGTACTAAAAGCCATGTTTTCCGATCGCTAGTGTCTTCTCCTGGACTTTTCGCCTATTGCTTTGAGCATTTCAGAGCGGAGTTTATCAATTTCAGCAACCTTTACAGATTTCAGGCTGTTTGCAGCTTGTGCGATTTCATCTACAGAAATACTAATATTTATTCCTTAGGCGAGTCTTTCTAAGGTTGCTCGGGATTAAGTAGTTCCTGAAAATACTCTCTCCATCGCCGGAGGATAGCCTAATCCTCAGTAAGAGGATGTCCTTCAAGATTCCTAGGCTGTCCTTTTCTCCTCAAAGCCGACGGATGGTCGCCAGAATACCTTTGTTTGCCGTCTGGAAATTATTCTCCTCATCGATCACCTCTTCGAACTTCTCCCAGGAATCAGCTTTGGCTTTCGCCGCTATTTTCGCTGCCGCCTTGCGTGCTTCGGCATATCACATGCGAGTAGATGGCTTTTTGTTTCCATTCCATTTCTTGAATGCAGCCTTCTTCTCTTTAACTGCCAGTTGTACCTTTCATGTCCACCGGGAAATGGTTTTCTGACCTCCAAGCGCCAAGCCAACCCGTTTGAGTCCGCAGCATTTGGCGGCAGCTTGAAGTAAGCCGCTCTTAAAGCTCCTGGTAAGCCGCTTCCACTCGTTTTCCACGTCAGCGATCATCATTCGAATCTGTTCAAACCATCGTGCGATGTTTGCTAGTTTCGCCCTCGTACCCGCCGAAGATAATGTTTTCCATTTGATTCTCTGGTTGCTTCTATCAAGAGATCGTCGATTGAGACTCCATTTCTCACAATATAGTGTGACAACAACATGGTGATGAACGGTTGACAGCACTGCGCTCCTCATAACGTCAGCATCACCCATAACAGTGCTTCGGAGTCAGATAAATTAGATCTGTCATCGCTTTCTGTTCACAAGCTTCCCTGTACTAGGTATATTGGTGCACGCTTTGATGCTTGAAGAAGGTGTCCATAATAGACAGTCCTTTCTTTCCAATCATGCTTTTCCGGTTTTCAGTGTCTGATCCGATCACGCATTGAAATTGCACATTTAAATAGAGGACTCCGTAGTCGACATTTTTTACAGTGCACACTCCACTTGCTCAAGGACTGACTCATGTTTTCCCTCCCTATTGATGAACGCATAGATCTGTAACAGAGTCAGAGCTTTAGCCTGTTGTAGCTTCAGTAGGAACATTGCCGTGCTTCCGTTGACAGGCTTCCATTCGCTGACTCTATCATCAGGTTCTACCAGATCACCAGCACTGGCCTTAGCGCGTGCAATTGACTAGAATTGCTTTGACCCGCAGTGATTTAGAGTTCCGTAGCATTGGCGCTTCAGTAATGAGAGCCCAACTATGTAGAGTTGGTAACTTGCGACTTCCAGCTAGCTCCTGCTCGTTCACTCTGAATGAGGATATGTTGCGGTTTCCGACTGTATGCTCTCATTGGTGACGTCGTTCCGGTCGAACGTTTATGACGTGCTATAATGGCATCGCCATGTCTCTGTCCGTGCGGAACATGTTGCGATTTTGTTGCCGATGAGTATTTTGTCGTCGTTTCGCCAACATTCCGCAGCCATTGTCGTGTTTCTGCCAGTAGGAGGTGAGCAGGTTCTAATCACTGACTTTTCGCATCCTGCCTCAGTCCCCCAGCAGCTTGCGCGGCCCTTAGTAAGGTAGGCGACGACGGAGCTATAATATTCAGTGTCGGAAATAGCGTGAGAAATAGAAAATAATTCTGCATAAAATCTGAAGATAATTCTAATATTCATTTAGAGTTATTCGACAACTATATGCAGCAAGACGCGCACGAATTTCTGAATTATTTGCTCAACACCGTCGCTGACATCCTCAAGGAGGAGAGTCGCCAAGAGAAACGCGGGTGCAACGCGCCTATGTTGAAAAATGTGAACTGAAATTCTGTTGCCTTTCGTTGATTTAATTGATAATGTTGCTTCGTTTCAGGTGAATGCACATCTCCCTCAGAATAAACCGAGCCACAGCTGGGTTCATGAAATATTTCAAGGAACGTTGACTAATGAAACTCGATGTTTGAACTGCGAGTCTGTAAGTTGATTTTTGCATTTTTGTATTGTGCTAATAATCATGCAAAGAGTAATCAGAATCACCTATTAAATTAGGTGGCAGTTTTGACTTTACACTGAACAAACTTTACGAATTTTAAAGGTCTGTGTTGCAGTTTATTTGCTGATCGGCAAAAGATTTTGTGAAATGAAATGAAATGATGATCTAGAAAGAAGATGCGAAAGTAACTTCTAGTTAATATGGCGTTTCTGTTAAGCCACAACGTTGTTTCATAAAGAACAAGTCTGACTTTGTCCTTTGCACCGTTTAGATCCTATATTTAGAATTGAAATATAAAATTTTAATCGTTGGGATATTAATGTGCCTTTCATTTCAATCATGAGTATTATTTTCATGAAGTTTGCAGTGCGACTGTGATCTCTGCTTCTTGGCCATTAGAGAACACTTTATTTTAAAAGCAGTATAGTGTTTTACGACCCTTCCCACAAAGTGATGATGTTTGTCTATCTCGGAAAACTGACCCGATGGACCCTCGAAATTGCGATC